GTTTTTACTCGGCCCGTGGTGTTCATCAAATAGTTCGCTTTATTTTTTCGATACATCAATGGATGCTATTTTCTTAACATTACGGTGCGAGCACGCGACTGTAACACAGAAAACGCGGTTTAAACTGTCGTCGGAGATCGCGGCCGCCGCCATGTTTCAATGTTGTTGACAGACGACAGGGCAAACGACGCATGCGCTCAACGTGAATATAGCGAGAGTTTGCACCGATGTAAACCCTCTACACAAAAAATGTAGAGGGTTGTTTGAAAAAAATGTCGACCGTAAGTTTTTTTTCGACGTAGAAATTCTCGGTCGGTCGGGTTACCGAAAACACACTACTTTTTTTTCTACGCCTTATGTGTTCTATTGTATTATGATGATTTTATGTTCAATGTTCTGTAAAGTGCTTTGTTACAGCTGCAGTTGTTATGAAAGTGCTATGTAAATAAAAATGTATGATATTAATTTTAGGATAGCAGTGAACAAGAAAAACATCACGTCGCCACTGTCATAAGTCAAAACAACAAAACGGAACAAGTGACCATGAGAGTGGCGACAATGGTGGTTTTCTGATTGGAGTAACGTCAGTGTGCTAACTTACATAAACAGTAACTTTTATTTCATGATTTGATGCGCAGAACCGAGGTCTTGCAAAACTTTCTGATGTTACTGTCATCCTTCAAAGTGATTCACATCCCTTGAAGTTTTGTGAAACTTACTTCCCCCCGCAACTTATATGACCATGGGGGCATTCAACTTGAGATATTCCACTGTCTAAACAAGACATTTAGAACCACATGCCTGCTGTTCCTGATTATGGTGTGATAATAACATGGGCTACCTCGCTACCTCACACTTTAGGTGTGCTGTGCTGTACTCCTATAAGCCGCAACGCCCAGAGGAGCTGGAGCTGAGGAAAGGCGAGATGGTGGGAGTGTACGGCAAGTTCAAAGAAGGCTGGCTGCGTGGGTTGTCTCTCCGAACGGGCAAAGTGGGCATCCTGCCCAGCAACTACATCACTCCTGTGCTCAGGTGAAAGGCCACGTTCCCTGACGGCAGTGTGCGTCAGACGAAGGACGCTTGGATGCAGATGCCCTGCATTTGTGTGGGCAGTATTATGTTTATCATTAAAAACATAGAATGTAAAATGTGTCAGACCTAGAACGTTATATGAAGGATTCTGCAGAATGCTTGATTCAGAATGTGGATTGCGAACTTTATCCTACTTTGTCTCACTGTAGAACGTCAGCCAGACTTCTGGAGACCAAAGCGGCTAGTGCATCGTCACAGCACAATGCAGCAGCGGCAAAAAAACACACAACTGCCAGGAATCCCGCTGTGGTCCTTGCTCCTGATAGGGTAAATACCGATGGGGTGTTGTACTCAGCAGGACAGGTCCCACATGTGCCAAATGGAGCGCAGCACGCAATGTCATCCACAGGCGCTGGAAAAGCATCCTTCTATGGCAGCACGCCAGGTTGGGAGACAGTTAGGCGACTATTTAACCCACACAGAGGTGAATGCAGTCAGTCCATCTCCTAATTTCAGAATTAGTGTGTAAATGTCTCCTAATTTGTTCTTTTTGAATACGTTTTCCAGTATCCAATCCTTTCAGCCATTCATCCAATTTGAATGTACCCTCCAACTCGGAGCACTTTGCTCAAGTTCAGGCATCCGGCTACTCGCCCGCCCTGCCGAGAAAGAAAAACGGTGGAATTGGATCCAACTCTGGAAGACCAGCCGGTTGGATGAGTGAGCCAACAGCGCTCTCTGCTGCCCAGCTGTCAAAAGACAGGGACTTTGGCACTTTACACGAGACCGGGGGTTATCATCAGCATGAGCGGCATCCGTCCAGTGGCCCTCACTCAATTCTTGTCAGACCCGATTCACATAAAAGCACTGTAGACAAGGTAAAGTAGTGCTCAAAATAAGTTCTATTGTTGTCACTCCTCCAGCCTCATCCACTAGAGCGGTTTCTCATCTACTGGACACAATTTTCTGCAGATCTACTTTCGACTTTTTTTGTCTATATCAAAGCAAATAGTATTGTATGGTAGTTTGATCAATGTACACTAAATGCACAGCAGTCATGTCTAAACTCTTAAAACTACCTCTGAAAGGAAAATGTTGATGACATCACTTGCTCCCACAGATTGTGTGAACAGTGACCCAGAAAAAAAGACAGATAACACTTTCCACTTTTAAGTTTTTTTCCTCTTTGATTCCGGTTACATTGCCAACATACTTTTTTTTTTTAATGCCGTTTTTTTTTCTAGCCTGCCAAGTCAGTGCGCTTCCTCACAGATGAAGACCCCTCACCTCCACGACTTCGGACCTCCTCCTGGTCTTCTGGAAGCCAGGTTCTGTCCAACTTCGCCCCAGCACCTCCTCCACTTGAAGTATGGGCACCATCACTCACCTTGGGTAGAGACGGGCCTGGAATAATCCTCAAAGACGGAAAAGCTCCAACTCTCAGGAAAGGCGTAGAGACTGTCCTCTCGGATCTAAATTCAAACCCGCAAAAAACAATGTCATCGCAGCCGTCGCCATCAACTATGTCAGCTCAGTTCAGCCCCACCAGGTACTTTCAGAATTGGAACAACCATTAACAAAAGAGTCATTGTTTCACTTTTGTTTTTGTTTTTTCCTCCCCCGAAGACACAGAGTGAATTCAACTCATCTCGCTCAGACAGACTCTGAGCTAAGTCTGCTCCAAGGAGAGCTGGTCCTGGTCCACAGACCTCGACCTGACGGCCGTGTTCTGATTACCCAGGAGACCAGCGGACAGACGGGCCTGTTTCATAGTAGTATTCTTCATGCTCTGGAGAGGCTCACTTGACTTTTTGTTACTGCAGCTGTTGTGAAAGCGCTGTAGAAATCAGGATGTATTGTATTGAATCAATCTATTTTGTAGACCCTTTGCCAAGATTCAGTAATTGAAATTGCCAAAAGAGATTTCCATGAATGAGTTTTTTTTCCCCCTGGGGTCATATTAAAATGTTTAGAAATATATTTTGTGTTTCTTTCGTGTAATAGCATGTACTGTATAGCCCACATGTACTGAGAATTTGCACACAAACCCACCAAATTGCTGTCTCCCTGTTTCTGCCGTTGTTACATACAGTACATAAGTGTGTGCCTTTGTCAAAACCTACAAAGAAAATACAATCTATTTCACTCTGTGATGTCAAATAGCTATACTTCTTATGTGGCAATAAACTACTAATAACAACTAATTGAATGTCTTGCTTGAGGGGATTGATTGATAATGGCCAAAGAAAGGAAGAACATTAATGTAAGAGCCATACAATTATCAAGATGGGACTAGAGAATGTTTTTTTTTTTTAAAGTAACGTGTATATAGAGAATGTGGTCCCAAGAAAATCACAAGGCTTGATGTTGAATATGGCACATTTATACATTTATTCACAGATAACATTCTAAATAGTCATTTCAATAAATATGATTTGAGTTTAGCAAGTTGCTTCTACAGAATATTCTAACTGTTGTGTGGTGTCCGCATGTTTGTGGTGTGGTGTGTAACTGTAGCAATTTGGATCAGAGTAGATGGTTAATGTCAGCAGACTTTTGCATCATTAAAGAAAATCCGTCAGTTAAAATTTGTAGAATATGTGGTTAAAGATGTACTTGACATGTGATATGATCATATCGACATGTTCTGGGGGTTGTCGTGGTGAAGTGGGTGAAAGGCTTGTTGTCATCCTTTGAGCTATTCACGTGTAAAACTAGGGAGACTTGAGACCGCTGAAAAGTACCAAAGTATGTTCTTTTGATCTTGGATGCTCAAAACCCTGAATTCAGACAATTGCCACTGGGTGATGAAGTAGGTGAAGATTTTTATTATATACAGTACTGTACTTATTTCTCAACCATTCAAAAGCACCCAATGTGCATTTTGAGACCAAATTTAGTATACTTTGTAGATTGAAAACGACTTTTTGAGTTAAATTACATAATAAACATCAAACTATGTCGGCAACTGAGTGTAATTTCCATTTAAGTCGCTTTGCAGCAGGTGACGCATGCGCAGACAGTCTCAGCCAGGCTACCGAACCTGAGACTGATGTTTAGGATTTTACGATGGCGTTTAAATTCTTTAAATAACCAGTCTAATGTCCAACGGACACAACCATACGAATACCATTCACTGCACATATACTCTAATTACATCGCTGCTGTATGAATATGCCGGTAAGCCGCTCCGCCCTTTTGTATTTTGTGTTTTGTTCACCAAGGGTTCCTCCCTCAGATTCCAATGATGTGATGCTAACCGGTTAGCTTGTTAGCTCACTCGCCGTTAACCAGACGATTGGGGAAATGGACACTTGGCGCTTTGTTACACGTTATCTATTTCGTCGAATGCGTATAGTCACTGTAAATACTCGATTTTTCTCACCGTTGATGTTATCTGTAATGTTTGCGTCTCGTCATCCCTAGCAACCGAGAGCCGACTAACAGAAACTACTGCTAATTAATCTACTCGTGACTCTTATGATTGGGTACTAATTACATTTCATCCCTGGCAGTTTTTCATTGTAGGGTTTGACTGTGGTTAGGTGTAGTGCAATGACCGGCCGTGATGTCTTCCAGACCAATAAGCTTGACAAGCCGGAGGTGAGCGATAACGTCAAGGTGGTGGTGCGATGTCGTCCGCTCAACCAGAAAGAGACGGCGATGTGCCACAAGCAGGCCGTCGCTGTGGACGAGATCCGCGGCACCATCACAGTCAACAAGCTGGAGACCCAGCAGGAGCCTCCCAAAACATTCACCTTTGACACGGTGTTTGGACCAGAAAGCAAACAGTTGGATGTCTACAACCTCACTGCCCGGCCCATCGTTGACTCGGTGCTGGCAGGGTACAATGGTAATACAGGATAAAAGTGATCATTACTATCAGGGTACGAATACGGTTTTATGCAGCCAATATGTTCATCCATGAGTGACGTGGACTGATACTGATCACATGTATTAACTGCTAGCCATTTTAGAGCATTTAAACGTTTTCCAAACCCACATATTATGGTCAATTATTTTTTTTATATTGTATACACACTCCCCAAACTACCAAATGAAGAATACTTACTCCTTTCACCCCCCCCCCAAAAAAAAGAACTTGATTCTGCCTTTTTTTCATTCTTTCATAAACAGCAGTAGAAAAGAGGTCGTTTGCACAAAATGCAGCAGTTTCTCCTCGTGGACTCACAAACTTTGCTTATGTCATATCTAAAATGGGGCATCAATGTTATCCAGTGGTGGTTGTTCAACAGTAAAGTTGTTTCTAAGATGAAAATTTACAGTTGTGGAGTAGCATCACATGCTCCACCTTCCATATACAACATAAGTATACATCTGTTCATGAATCAGATTATTTATTTTTATTTTATTTATTTATTTTTTTGACTGTCACAGGTTTGCGGGTAGTTGTTGTGGAAGAAAGGTGTAGCCAAGTACAGGAAGACATAACAGGAATGCAGGGCAAACTCCAAACAAAATGTATTTTACAAAAATAAAATAAAAAAGTAAACAAGGCATGCGGAATAAAACACAAAATTAGTGCGGTAAGTCCAGAAAACTAGATGCAAAGTAGAAAAAAAAAATGGAAATGGAACTCGCAAACAGGAACTGCCAGGGACAACAACAGAAGGAATGATCCGACAAAGACTGAAAGGAAGCAGGGAACTAAATACAAACAAACTGACGAGACAATGAGGAACACCTGGACAAGACCCGAGTGACAGAGTGAGCTGATAGACACAAGGGACCGGTGCTGATGCGAATAAGTATACACAACACAAATGAGAGAGACAATACATGAAAAGGAACTCATCCATCCATTATTTGCTCTGCTTATCCTCATGAGGGTCACGGGCATGCTGGAGCCTTCCCCAGCTGTCTTCTGCCAGTAGGCGGGCTACACCCTGAAATGGTCTCCAGCCAACTGCAGGGCACTCATAGACCAACAACCATTCGTGCTCACCATCACACTGACAATTTTGAGAGTTCAATCAACCTACCATGCATGTTTTTGGAATGTGGGAACAAACCGGAGTAACCGGAGAAAGCCCACACAAGCACAGGAGGAACATCCAAACTCCAGACGGGAGGGCCAGGGATTAAACCCTGGACCTCTGCACTGTGAGCCGGACCCGTCGATCACCATTCCGCCCACACAAAACATGATAAAACAAAAAATCAAAACCACACCAACGAAAGCATCTATCTCCAAATCATGACAAAAACATTCCATCCACATTTCCTTCAATTTCTTATGATAAAACAGGACATAATTTCAAATTGTCAGTGCAGGAAATACACAAACATATACATCTCAACATATATACCTGTACTTGCACAGTCTTAAGATTTAGGAGCGTTTTTGTTTGTGTTTATTGTAGTTTTGTAGAAGTACACCAAGTCTAACTGAGGGATGTTTAACTACGTTTCGCCCTCTCATGAATCATCCGATAGATTTTACCAACCTTCATTGAGCCAAAGTGCCTACTTAATATTAGAAAAAATCTCACCTCCCACCACCAAACAAAATCTACCAGTGTGTCAGAAAAGTTCCACGACTGATGTCACAAAAGCTACATTTTAAGACAAAACTACAAGCTTTCATCTGAAATGTCGGCCAGACAATCAAACATCACATATGCAAAGAGACCCTACTTCATTCAGTGAGAAAACGATGTAATGTGTATCAGTCAGACTTGGTCACAAACTTTCATATGCGTGATCATTATTTCCTATATTTTCAAACCCATCTTTCTAACCCATTTTTGTGTGTAATATTTCTACCCATTTCAGGTACCATTTTTGCCTATGGGCAAACTGGAACCGGGAAGACCTTCACCATGGAAGGTGTGCGAGCAGTGCCAGAGCTCCGAGGGATAATCCCCAATTCCTTTGCCCATATATTCGGTCACATTGCCAAGGCAGAGGGGGACACTAGGTACATAAACATTCGGGCTTTGTTTTCCACATTCTCCATATTGTGCCTTTTATTTGTACCTTACATTGTTGCATTTCATTATGTATGCAATACAGAATGTAAAGTTTGCATCTGTAACATTTTTGGATATATATATATATTCTTTTTACTCACATCTGAACATTCTGATGCTTGTGAAATTTGAAAAGATATTGGAACAACTTCAAATGTTTTGATGATACAAAGTCTTAGCCAATGTCCCACACTTCTACAGATTTCTGGTTCATGTATCATACCTAGAGATTTATAATGAAGAAGTGCGTGATTTGTTGGCCAAGGACCAGACACAGAGACTCGAGGTACTGTATCGTATCCGTCACTTAAAGATTGTTTTGATTCAGTTGTTAATATTGAAACAGAGCAGCTAAAGACATTGACCTTTTTAGAACTGGCAAAAAGCAACAGAGGGAATGAATAATTGTTGCGCATCATAAAGTGTACTCCCCACAATAGGTTAAAGAAAGACCAGATGTTGGCGTGTATATCAAAGATCTTTCTGGGTATGTGGCGAACAATGCTGACGACATGGACAGGATCATGACACTGGGCAACAAAAACCGTAAGAAGAGACTTAACACCTACATATTCCAACAGTATTGTTAATCTTGTAAAGATTCTCAATCGAATAATTTGGCAAAACCCACCTTGCTAATAACAAGGAACTCAGCTTTAATCACAAACCTGTCCTTTGTACAATACTGCGTATCCTCTTGATTCACACACAATAGTTGTTTTGTGTGTAGCTTCACCATTGTTTTGATTGAACTCCCTGTTGTTTTTGTATTTCCCTCTCAATAGGTTCAGTTGGTGCAACAAATATGAATGAGCACAGTTCCAGATCACATGCCATCTTCACCATCACCATCGAGTGCAGCGAGAAGGGTGTGGATGGAAACCAGCACGTGCGCATGGGAAAACTTCATCTAGTTGATCTCGCAGTATGTAAAACATTAGCTACATCACTTCAAAAAAGGGAAGTTATTATCACAGTAACATTTCAAAGGTTAGAGTCCACTTGTACCTATTTTTCCATCTCTGTGGTCAGAAAAAAACCTATAATGCTGGTTTAAGTGCTTGTAAAAAAAAACAAAAAAAAAAAACATTTACACTACTGTAAAAGCATGAAAATAAGTGTAGCTCAAGAATAAAGAGGAGTTGTTTTGAATATCGTATGTAAAGATAATACCAGTTTAAGAAACCACTTAGAACACAGAATTATGTTGAGCCTTCAACATGACCAAAAATTTAAAAAGAAAATGTGATGATGTGGTCATGGGCTCTGCCGTTCTGTTAATCTAACCTCGCCACCTTCCTCACAGGGCTCAGAGAGACAGGGTAAAACAGGGGCCACAGGCCAGCGCCTCAAGGAAGCAACAAAGATCAACCTGTCGCTCTCCACTTTGGGTAACGTAATCTCTGCCCTGGTGGATGGCAAGAGCACCCATGTGCCCTACAGGAACTCCAAACTTACCCGCCTGCTGCAAGATTCACTCGGAGGGAACTCGAAGACTTTGATGGTAAATCAAACTTGTCAAACAAGCAAGTCACTTTCCAACAATTGGTGAAACTTCAGCATGCTGACATTCGTGCTTGTCCCCAACCAGTGTGCAAACATAGGTCCCGCAGACTATAACTATGATGAGACTATCAGTACCCTGCGCTATGCTAACAGAGCCAAAAACATCAAGAACAAAGCCAGAATCAATGAGGATCCCAAGGAAGCTCTACTCCGCAAATTTCAGAAGGAAATTGAGGATCTAAAGAAGAAACTTGAGGAAGGTTATCAGCCTTTTTTTCCCCCCCACACACTTGAGCTGAACACATAATTACAATCACTCTCATGTCGGAGTCGTCTGCATGTAAGTTTATAATATTGTTCCGTAATGCTTTGAACATCCTAGGTGAAGAGATTTCTGGCTCGGACGGCAGCGGATCAGAAGAGCTGGATGAAGGGGATGAAGAAGGAGGGGACTCTGGACAAGGACGCAGGAGACGAAGAGGTAAGAATTATAGGAAAGGAATCCATTTTGTCCTCATGGAGAGGAGGAATTTACTGTTGTCAAATGCTTTTACTATGACTTGTTAAGATCACATTTTATTAACATGACGGTAGATTTGTCAGTAGCTTTTTGGAGGGGATCTGTTCAGTATTAACTTGGCAAAAGCTGATAGTTGAATTGACTAACATAAACAATGCTTGTGGCAAATTGCATACGACATACACACGTATCACATCCTCCCATTATTGCTTCTGCTCTATGCTGTTATTAATGAATGTTAGACTAAATTTATTTGCATATGCCCACATTCAGCTCATGACTCAGCTAGGCTTTATTCTTCTACTCCAGAGGTGGCCAACCCGCGGCTTGCGAGCCGCATGCGGCTCTTTGGCTGGTTCAATGCCGCTCCTGGACTTTAATGCGACAAGCGTCGAAAACGCCTCGGCAGTGGCGATGCCATTCAAACGAAGGCGCTAAATATACAGAACGCACGACGTCAGCCTATAATCAATCCCGTTACTTGATTGACATAGAGGGCAACCAATCAGAGGACTGCATCACCGCTCATGCGCAAACAACGGCGCTAAGCGCTAAACTAGTCAACGAATTACCTCTGATTTTAAGGCAGGTATGCCCAATACGCCGATCGCAATCGACCGGGAGCCAGCGAACTGGTCCCAAGTCGACCGCAAGGGGTGAAAGGAAAAAAAGATTTGTTTGTATCTTTAGCTTTTGTTCATTTTCGGCCCGTTCTGACTGTTGCTCATCGTGGTGTGCGTGCATAATGTGCGCAAGTGCACTGGTGGGCACCCGCGTGATGCGCGCGCGCGTGCGTGCGCGCGTGCGCGTGTGCGTGTGTGTGTGTGTGTGTGTGTGTGTGTGTGTGTGTGTGTGTGTGTGTGCTTGCACGTGCGCAATAGGGTCGATCGTGGGAAGTTGGTCGCTTCAAAAGTCGATCTTTGGGCAAAAAAATGTGTGTGTGTGTGTGTGTGTGTGTGTGTGTGTGTGTGTGTGTGCGTGCACGACGAAGGGTATGATGTGGCTCTTTGCAGTAACACAGTAAAAAAATTGGCTCTTCGTCTCTGACTGGTTGGCCACCCCTGTTCTACTCTTTCGGGCCTTCACCTTCATCTTGTTTCATTCATTAATGTGTGTTATGTGTTCTTAGTTTCTTTGTCTTTGCTGTAGTGGTATTTGTGTCTTAACACTCATGTGTTCTTTCTCCTCCTCCTGCCATTTTGTCTTTACAACTCTTCTTCCTTCAAGGTGAAAGAGGTCGGTGTAATAATATTCTTCGTCTTTATGTTCTGTAACAAACGTTATGCTGTTTGTAGAAAGCATATACTGTATTTCTGGGGTTATTTTTAAGTTGCATATTTAACGCACTACAAGGTGCACCTAAAAGCATTACATTTTCTAAAAAGCCGACGATGCGCCTTATAATCTCATGCGCCTTATATATCAAGTATGAAGTACAACTTTATTGTCAAATGTGCTGTATATACAGACATAATGTAAATACAAGACAATATACGGATATATATTCTGATTTCTTGAACGTAGTATTTTAGATGTTCTGTAAAGCACTTTGGTAGAGCTGCATGCAGCAGTTGTGAAAAGCTCTATAAAAATAAAGCTGTATTGTATTGTGTTTCCGGTAGAGTAGCTCCATCTAGTGGATACATAATACAACCACAGCCACTATTGTGGCTTCTATTCTATGCGCCTTATAATGCGGTCCGCCCTTTATATGATAACAGTTTTAAAACAGGCCATTCATTGAAGTGACGCCTTCATCTCTGAAGCGCCTTATAGTGTGGAGAATACGGTACTGTGTTGCTAAGTCACCGCTTTACATTTTTGTCCAAGACTGAATTCCGTCTGCGGTTGTCTATCTTCATCACCATTGTGCCATTAAAATATTGGATATTGCACTATCCCATTTACATGAACCTTTTTTGTTTGTTCAGGGAAGAAGAAGGTTTCACCAGAAAAGATGGTGGAAATGCAGGCCAAGATTGAAGAGGAGAGAAAAGCTCTGGAGGCGAAGCTGGACATGGAGGAAGAGGAGAGAAACAAGGCAAAGGCGGAATTGGAGAAGCGGGAAAAGGATCTTCTTAAAGCTCAGTGAGTACCCCAGAAGAGTAGCAACACTTCTTCAAAGACTTTAAATGAATCTCACTCAATCAGTATGCGTTAGATATTTTTATTTAATTATTTTTTTGAATACGCATCAAAGTTTCATCTTTGTGTCTATAACATTGCAGGAGATACATCTCATGTTAAAGAGGTCACCTTATTGTTGGAGCCTATTTTTATTTATCAACGTTTAGAGCAGTGGTTCTTAACCTGGGTTCGATCGAACCCGAGGGGTTCGGTGAATCGGTCTCAGGGGTTCGACGGAGCCTCTGCCATGGAGGTTAAGACATACCCGACTCAACCTGTCAATTAGTTATGACACGCCTGCTTGGCCATCACTGGCTGCAGATGATCACATTACATTGCTTATCCAATCAGGGCTGCGGGAAATTTAGTTCCCTCAGTAGTCAACGTGTGACTGTCATGATAGTACGTCCTAAAATTAAAAAAGTTATACTTAAGTCTTGAAATTTTATTTACTTTTTTTGTTTTTAATAAATACGTTTTCTATGTCTTGAATTTGTAAAAAGTCATATTTTTGTTTTTCACTAATGAAGAGTTTGGTGAATGTACATATGAACTGGTTGGGATCGGTACCTCTAGCAAGGTTAAGAACCACTGGTTTAGAGTGTCTGTAAAGCAGTGTTTCTCAAATAATTCCCCCTGGGGGGCGGGGGCGCGCCCTACTATTTGGCTCCATCAAGGGGGGCGCGCTTGACCTCGGGGAACATGCTTTTTTATTTTGATTTTTTTTTTTTTACTGTCCGAGAATGAAGTGCAATTGCACCTCCACTACTTTAGGGGGCAGTGGCGCTCTCATTGGCAGAGTGTGCGCACGGAGGTGAAGGGGTTTTGTTTGCACTGAGCATGCGCGCTTTGCACACAACACAGCATATGATTAGGAAGTGTGGCCACAAAGTGTAGCAGACCCTCCAATGACATAATGAAAAAAATATTTAATAGGCATGAGAAAACAGGCGGAGATAGACGGAGACAAAGAGACTAACGAAAGTGTCCCAAAAGCTAAGACGAGGAAGTATGACGAAGCGTACATCGCGCTTGGCTTCACGGTGACGACGGTCAGAGACGAGGAAAGGCCGGTGTGCTTGCTGTGTCTGAAAATGTTGGCAGCGGGACAGCTTGAAGCCAAATAAATTAAGGCGTCACTTGAAGACACTACACCCCAATTACGTTGAGAAGCCGCTTGATTTCGATTTTTTCAGCGAAAACGTGCAGAATACTGCCAACAATCATACCGCTTTGTGACTGCTACTTCAGTCAACCAGCGAGCGTTGTTGGCATCATATAAGGTGGCGTACCAAATTGCTCAGGGCAAAAAAACCCCACACCATAGCAGAGGAGCTGATGCTGCCTGCAGCATTAGACATGGTCTCTGTCATGCTGGATGACGCAAGTGCTTCAAAAATAAAAACTATCCCTCTGTCCAATGACACTATTAGACGTATAAATGACATTGCTGACGATCTTAAAGAACAGCTGGTTGATAAACTCAAAGACAAACATTTTGCTTTCCAATTTGATGAAGCAACTGAAAGCAACAAAGACTGTTTGTTTATTGCTTATGTACGTTTTGACATGACAAATTCCCTGTGTGAGGATCTACTTTTTTGTAAACATGTCAGAGACAGAGCCACAGCTGAAGAGCTCTTCAAAATGATAGGCTGCTTCTCGACTGAGAATGGGCTAAAGTGGGAGAACTGCATTGGTGTTTGCAGTGATGTGCACAGACCATGGCAGGGATGAGAAAAGGACTTCGGACTCTCATCAAGAAGGCCTCACCTAATGCTGACTGGACACACTGTGTTTTACACAGAGAAGCACTGGCATCAAAGCACCTTTCCGCTGAATTAAGTGAGGCTATGACTGACATTGTAGGTGTAGTCAATTTCATAAAGACCAGACCACTAAAAACAAGAGTCTTCTCTGCTATCTGTGAGGAGATGGGAGCTGAACATCAAGCTGTGCTGTTTCACAGTGAGGCAAGGTGGCTGTCACGAGGAAAAGTGCTGTCCCGAGTTTTTGAGCTCAGAGAGGAGATAAGAATGTTTTTGGAGCAGGAACACAAGTATGAAGTTTCAAGAAAGTTTAGTGATGACAACTTTCTGATGAAAGTGGCCTACCTGAGTGACATTTTTGGAAAGCTCAATGAACTAAATCTACAGCTTCAAGGGAAAGATCAACACCTTCCTCAGGTCAGACAGTATCAGCTCTTTCACTCGAAAGCTTGCAATGTAGGGCAGGCGAATTGATGAAGGAAATACTGAGTCATTTGAGAACCTGCAGGAATTTGTTGATACTACTGACGATGATGCCATCTCAGTGATTCCATATTTTAAGCAGCATATTTCATCACTGATGGGATTCTTCACAAAGTACTTTCCTGAAAATTGTTCCTAGTATGACTGGGTGAGAGATCCTTATAATGCACCAGCTCCAACTGGTTTCAGCTCTGCAGAGGAGGAGCAGTTCAAAGACATCACATCTGACTCCACATTGAGACTACGTTTCACATCTCAGACACTGAGTGAATTCTGGCTGAATGTCGAGAAGCAATATCCACTCTTAGGACAAAGAACTGTGCACATTCTTCTTCCATTTGCAACTTCTTACTTGTGTGAGACTGGCTTCTCTGCTGTTGCTGCTCTGAAAAGCAAATACAGGTCCTAGCTCCACATTGAGCAGGATCTGAGAGTTGCTGTGTCCTCCTTCAAACCTCGCTTCGCAAAGTTATGCATTTCAAAACGTGCTCATTGTAGCCATTAATGCAGACATCACCTGTGATTAAAAAAAAAAAAATCAGCACAAATTATTCTATATATTTTTGTTTTGCAGGTTAAAGTTTTTTAAAAATATTTTGCTCCTGAGTTAATGTTGGTGATCAGTTTGAATGCATTATTATTTATTCATTTTATGTAATTTTATTTTTCAGTATCTTATGGTTTGACATGGTCAGTCAAAAAATTTTTATAGTTTAATTAAGGATTTAATTTTATTTGTGAATTTCAGATGCATTTTAAATCTCTTCTGTTACAGTTAATAAAGCTATTCTTTGTTGTAAGTTGGTCTGTTACAGTTAAGAAAGTTCTTTGTTGTAAGTTGGTCTGTTACAGGTAATAAAGCTCCTTTGTTGTAAATTGGTCCATATTTCTTTCTTTTTTATTCTCTTATACGTTAATAAGGATACAGCGTTATGCTGAGGTGTACTTATAACAATTTTATAGACAAATGATACTATTTATAGTCGCGGGGGCGGGCCGAGATGTTTTCTTCTTCCTCGGGGGGCACGACAGAAAATAATTGAGAACCACTGCTGTAGAGTAAGATAAATTAAGATTATGACTTGTGTTCCTCGTCAGATTTAATTGTATGACATCACGTGTCTCATGTTATCACTCTTAGGCAGGAGCATCATCTTCTGCGTGAGAAATTGTCAGCTTTGGAGAAGAAGGTCATCGTGGGAGGTGTCGACCTGTTGGCAAAGGCTGAGGAGCAGGAGAAGCTTCTAGAGGAGTCCAACAGTGAGTTGGAAGAACGCCGGCGGAGGGCGGAGCGCCTTCGCAAGGAACTGGAGGAAAAGGAGGTAAACTCGTAGCAAGGAATAAGCTGTTTTTTTCTCCTTTTAAATTGATAAACTGATGTTTTTAACATTTAGCTGTGACACAATAACACTGGGGAACAATTTGGCATTTTCTTTTATTCTGACCAAAGCCAAAATTGGCTTGCTTATTCCAAAATTGCAGATTTAGCGGAGGTTTACTATGTATTAAAATACTTTCTCAATCTACCTGCTATGCACTGTACCCTTATGTAGAACTTGTATCTACGTATATCTAAAAACAGCAAGAGCGCTTGGACATTGAGGAGAAGTACACAAGCCTTCAGGAGGAGGCCCAAGGGAAGACCAAGAAACTGAAAAAAGTGTGGACCATGCTGATGGCTGCCAAATCAGAAGTAAGTGACTTTGGCGGCGGTGTACATTAAGCATATTGGTAAGTTTAATTAGATTTTGAACAAAGCATCTGTTAAAGGTCAGCGCGGACCTTCATCAAGGTTGAACACCCGTCCGTTGGGTGGCAGTGACTTTTATAAATCTCCTTATCTGATGCCACACTGCGCCTCAATGTTTTGTGAGAATCGGTAGAATTGTGCTGGTAACAAATGCTGGTGAAACTGCTGGAACTTGGTGAGATATAAGATAACCTTTTATCAGATAAGATAAGCTTTATTTGTCCCACACTGGGGAAATTTGCAATATATGCGATGTGACATTTCTCATTGAGGCCCTGCCTTCTTCTTCACACTTCAGACTTGAGTTTTGTACTTTAGTTGGCAGACCTGCAACAGGAGCACCACCGAGAGATTGAGGGCCTCCTGGAGAACATTCGCCAGCTGAGCCGGGAGCTGCGACTCCAAATGCTCATCATAGACAACTTTATTCCTCAAGAATACCAGGTCTGCATTTATGACCTGTTAAATGCAATCAGTGGGAAAGAATCTTGCTTGTCACCAAATAATTTACATACATTAAATTTCAATTTAAAGTTACTTGCTTTGGTCGTCACCTGTCTGTCGTGCCCCCAGCTCTCACGGCTCTTTGATGTTGCAGTTTAGCGAGACTTCTTTATATCAGTCCAGGGAGACTTATTTAAGAGTATCCTTCGACTTGCCTCTCCCTCCATACGAACTATGAAGACTAACCCACTGCTCAATATTTATGTATGTGTAACTTTGATGTACTATTTTTCTTTTGTAGGAGATGATTGAGAACTATGTGCACTGGAATGAAGACATTGGAGAATGGCAGCTGGTATTTTTTCATTTGTGGTTAATTTTAATATGAAGCTTAGATTTATTTGTAGAAGTGAATCCTGATGGGTAATTGGTGTTAAGATATGAATTGTCTTTGATTTGTGTCTTTCTTGTGTCAGAAATGTGTCGCCTTCACTGGCAACAATATGCGAAAGCAGACACCTGCTCCAGGCAAAAAAGAAAAAGATGTAAATCTATTCTCCTCTACTTGCTCGAATCCAGTTGACAAATGTTCAAATCTGTCGCCTTTCTTCTAAACTCTGTGCCTGATGACTCTTTCTCATCCTGCAGCCTTTTGAGGTGGACCTGTCATATGTGTATTTGGCTTACACAGAGGAGAGCATGCAACAGTCACTGATGAAGCTAGAGAGGCCCAAAACATCGAAAAGCAGCAAGAGCGGCCGGCCCAAGACTGGTCGCAGGTAATCACAACACAAAGATCACACTTAAAGGCTACTAGAACTCTATTTGGGGTTAATTGGAGGCACTTGAAATGGTGGCAGGCGTGTACAGTATTACCTCAATTTAACATGCGTTTGAATATCATCCCAACTATCCCAACTATAAGAGGGTGTGCATACTCGTGCAACCACATTATCTCAGTTGCTTATTTTTACTTGCCTGTCTTTTTTTTTTCTCAATTTAATTGTTACACGTCACTGATGGTGGGAAAAAAAACAATTTTGAAATGATTTCTTTGTCTTAATTTTTTCATGTATTTTAAATCACAAAGATCTGGAATTCGTGCAGGGTGTGTAGACTTTTTATATCCTCTATTCTACATTGTTTTTCACATTATAAACAGTTCAGGTGTCTAACATGTCAGTACGATGCTTTCTCTCACTAACCCCAAGGATGAATTGTGTGTGTGTGTGTGTGTGTGTGTGTGTGTGTGTGTGTGTGTGTGTGTGTGTGTGTGTGTGTGTGTGCGCGCGCGCGCGCGTATTATAGCTGCCCCCCCTTTTTTTGGGGGGGAGTGGTTAATACTAAATCGGTGACTTGAGGTACGATTCTGTTAAGTTAAAGAGTGTGGTCACAGAATGAACTAAACTCATACCTCAAGACACTATTGTATGCTGTTCATGTAAGTATTCATTTGTCTTTAGACCAGTGGTTCTTAACCTTGTTAGAGGTACCGAACCCAACCAGTTCATATGCACATTCACTGAACCCTTCATTTGTGAAAAATAAAAAGCTGATTTTTTTTTAATAAATTCAAGACATAAACAAATGCATTTATTAAAAACAGGAAAAAACTTTCAAGACAAAGTACACATTTTTTAACTGTGCACAAAATGACCCAGCCAGTGATGGCCAAGTGGGCGTGTCATAACTAATTGACATGTTGAGTCGGGTGTGTCTTAACATCCATGGCAGAGGCTCCTTCGAACCCCTGAGACTGATTCGTCAAACCCCGGAGACTGATTCATCGAACCCCTGAGGTTTGATTGAACCCAGGTTAAGAACCACTGCTTTAGACTTTAGTGCCGCCCCCCCCCCCGTTACTTTTTGTGCCTCTATTGTAACATGAGCTGGCCCCATGCTGCTCAAATTGGATTAAGAAGCAAATTGCAAATGGCGTTTGCTGCTCAAAAGCTGAGCGCCAAATCTGTACCATGCTCTTCACACTCTTGTCGGGTGTCATTATGCCGAGTAAGTGGGGCACTCATCGTGTTGCACTTCACTTGCCTTACTTCCTTGAAGGCGGTTCAGTTGCCAGTCAGCATCTCATCTCTAATCTCACGCCTATCAGTGAACTGGGTTAAACTACAGCTCACTGCGACATTGTAGAAGATACACGGTCGAGGATGGATGGCTTGTAATTTTTTTTAAAAACTTGAAACCACAAATATTTTGTGCTATTTTATTCATTTGAATGTGGTTATTTGTTGATCGAGTAAATTGGTATATGTGTGCTGATATCAGGATATAATTTCCCGTTCTGAGAAGCAGCCTTCCTGACAGAGAGCTAACACTTACTGGTATCCCTCACAGGAAAAGGGCTGCAAAAGCAGAGGCGGCCATCGAGTCCCCTCTGCAGTGAAGACATGGCAGTGTCAAGTGAAGAAGTCTCTCGTCGAATTAACTGATGAGCCTTAGTCAAAAGATGATCTGAGTACACTGTATAGCTGACAGGTTTAAATGTGACCCTGCTATAAGATGTGCAGCGTATTATAGTCCATAGGATCCCCAGCTTCACATATACGGTCGCTTTGAAATGCATTTCAACACAACAGCTGTGGTGCCCTGGGAAGTCATGGCATGGCAACATTTGTTTGTTTTTTCTGCAGCAGAGTGATTGTACAGTAATACTCATCACAGGTCATTGGACTCACTGTTATTCTTGGTCTTGAACATTTCAAGTGGTGCTTTATTCTATACAAAGAAGCAACATCAGTCAAATTAAAAGGAAGTTTTGAATTCATACAATTACTATATAGTATGAAATAAAAATGACAGTTGAGAGGATGTACTGTTAACTCCAAAATGATTTATACTCCAGCCAAATTTTGAGGTCAATTTAAATTTTATTTGGTGAGCGGTTCTCTGTTTGCTAGAAATGACACACAAAAAAGGGAAAAAGACTGTTAAGCGTGGATTTAAAAGACTGATTTTTTCATACTTTGTCTGAATATAAGGTTGTACTAAATGCCCTCAATAATGCCATTTTCTTTTTCTCAAAATTCTCAAGTCAAAGTTAAATTTATTTCTATTTTTTTTTTATAATGGACATCACAAAAACATTGGACTAACCAGATGAAAGTGCTTGACATGTTTTAGCACAAATGCTAATTCTCACCACAGGACCCTGTTACAAGGGACATAAGATACGGACAAGTTAACTAGTTGATATTTAAAATCAGTGTCCTAGCAAGTACATTTTCCTTCGGCTCTGTGCAAATTGTTTTTTTTTTTTTTTTTTTTTTTTTTTTTTTTTTTGAAGGTCTCCAAATATGTTTAAATCAATCCCCAGGCTTGTCTCACTGTAAAGCGAATACCAGATTATCGCTGTTTTGAGGAAAAACTGGACTGTCCAAAAGAAGTCTTGAACATTGGGAGAATAGTTCTGACATTTGGTGATCAGGGTGAGAACAGTGATGGCAAACATTTTTGCAGACATTTAAAAACAAGTTTTCCAAAGGGGAAAGAATCCGAATACCACAATTTTTTAAATTGCAGTTGTTTATTAACATTTAACAATCTTTTCTCACTTATATCATTTCCAACTAAGGGATACCAATTCAACAAATGCAAATGTATATTTTGCGCCCCCCCCCAAAAAAAAAGCTGGTTTAACCGTATATCCTTTTCATATCATTTAAGTCAGAAATTACAAGTTTGTCCTCCAATGACTCTGTCCCTGAAAAAGATCAGTCCATAGAACTTCCTTAAGCCCAATATTTCCAGTAAAAGATGTGAAAATACATTCTTGCACGCGCATGATGAAGACAAGGCAACTGTTTTATTGATTGAAAATTCAATGCAGTAATTTGCAATGATAAAAGATCCTCCAGTCAAATTCAATTATTGAAGATTATGGGAAATGCCTCTCCTCTGAAGAGAGATATAGTTCGAAGTATTTCGGTGAAAGTGCGCTTTCTACTATGTGACGTGGGTCAGAAACTTTGGGAGTCTGCATGTCAGCCAGCTCTCACGTTAGTGCCACTTTGTTTTATTTTGAAAAGTTAATAGCTGTATTATTGAGATGCACCACATTTACTGCATGCCTTAGTATAATGCACTTGTATGAGGCTCTGTGAAGGTCATATTAATTTCACGTGCATGTTTAATCGTGGAGGCAAACTGGCTTTTGTTTTATATCATGATGTATGTCGAATGTTTACATTCACCCTGGATGTTTTATTTATTAAATTATTTTACACACGTTTACCTCACATTCTTGTTGCTCTTTTTTTTTTCTTTCACTAGATGATATAGGACAACGTTTTCCAACCCGGGTTGGGGTATGTGAGCACATTGCAGGGGGTACATGGAAACATTTAATGTCATTTCTTTCCAAGATCGTGCCATGATCCTGAAGGAGAAGATCCGACATTCAGTTTTCACCTTCAAACTCAAGCACTCTTGGATCATGCAGATGTGAAACACACCAGCAAGTCCATTTCCGAATTGCTAAACCAAAAACAATTAGTTTTGGGGTGGCCAAGACAAAAGTCCAAATTTGAATCAAATTGTGATGCCGTAGAGGGATTTCAAACGGGCAGTTCGCGTTTGAAACCCACCAATATGGCAGAGTTAAAGCAATTCTGCAAAGAAGACTGGGCCAAAATTCTTCCACAGCAATGTGAAAGACTCCTCACCAATTACCGCAAACGCTCAGTTTCAGTCATTACTGCCAAGGGTGGCACAACCCATTAGTAGGTTTAGGGGGCAATTACTTTTTCACATAGGCACAGGCACTATTGGATTTTTTTTTTGCGCCTTAATAAATTGAATTGGCATATAGAAATTGCATTTTGTATTTACTTGAATTGTCTTTGTGCAATATTAAAATTTGTTTGATGAAGGGAAACCTTTTGGATGTGATAAATATGCAAAGAACACAAAAATCAGCAAGGGGACAAATACTATTCCACTGCACTGTACAGTGGGTCTGAATGTTCTTGTTAAATTCCTTGACTGATATTTTTTAAGTTTAAATGCCTGTCAAAGGTGACTGAGTCAAATGAGCGTTTTTTTTTAAATCCATTATTTTCAAGTCAACATATGTTTGAGTTAAAAATAAAACCATGTCCAAGAATTAAATGTTCAAATGAATTAAACTTGTTTAAATTTGTCACGTGAATAAATTAATACAAACATTTGTTTTTCGCTGTTAATGTCATGTGCCACACAAAAAGTGTCTTTGTATGAGACGGGGATGGGCGGTGGGCAGTGACATGAACTTTTCGAGAAGTTCTCGAGATCTTTTCTACCTTTCACAAGTTATAACAAAGCGGAAATATTTGAAAAATGTTATGAAGATACCAAATCTACTTTCCCTCAACAGATTAAGATATATCTATCTATCTAAAAATAAACATTGTATTTACTTTTTTAGGTTTGCTTTATAGATTTTTTTTGCAACAGAATAATGAAGTACGAGTGCACACGCATGCACACACACACAGAGAGAGAGAGAGAGATCCAAAGGCCATTAAACGTTTTTGAGTGTCTTTAATATTCTGACACTTGGATTACATTACAATTTACATTTTTTAACATGTATCTATGCACATCCCCGTCATACCCCCCCCCCCCCCCCCAACACATACCCACACACAAAAAAATTCAGGCCATGAAAAATTGTAATATTGGGGTGGGGTTGGGTGGGGATTACACTCTGACTTTTCATTTTAGGGCACCCAAAGGGGTAGCAGCGACCCTGCTTCTAAACTATACTGATAAATAAATATGAACACTTCAACAACAATGTGCAAAATATATATTTCTGATTTTCTAATTGATATAACATAATTTATAAATTATTCTCATGAAAACACATCAAGAAGCACACTTTTATCAGTAAACGTGTTGCAGTGCGCATTTTGCGATATCCGCCAACAATTTGCATAGAGGATATGTTGTGTTCTTTCTCAGGTCACACGTCTCAACTCCATTCTGGAACACAATACGCGGATGAGATCAATAATACACAAGACTTGAAGAATGAAAGTTTTTATGAACCAGTATGTATCTTAATAATAGATTACCTTCTTCTTGTACTGTTGCAGGTTACGGTCAAGTATCTTTAGTTCATCACCGGTAGTATTTTTCAAGGCTTTGTCATTTTTGCAGAATGAACTTTTCTGTAAAGAAGGCCCACTGTTAATAATGTCAACTACACGTTCGTTTGACAAAGCCTACGCTGCTGTCATTTGAGAATGTCTCAAACCTACCGGACATGTGGTGTTGTTTGACCTTTGCTGCATTACACTCAGCGATTTTGAAAAAACGGGTTTCAAAGCCTTCTCAGCTTCGCAAAAGAAAATCTTCTGTAAAGAAAGGCCACTGTTAATACTCTAAACTACGTGCGAAAAAGCCTACCTTGCTGTCTGTCATCTGAAAATGTCTCAAACCTACCAAACATTTTGTGGTTTTTGGCCTTTGGACCATTATACTGTGCACCTGTGAAAAAGGCAAAAAGCTCAACATAATAAATATAATTAACATTATTTGATCATTTTTGTTTGTATATACTTACAGGGAGAAGACATGCATCCTCTGCCGCTTCCTTGATAACCTTCAGATCGATGTCTTTGGAAACCACAACGGCTGCGGAAAAGAAGGCCACAAGTATAGATATTACATCAATCCTAAATGGTGTCATGATTTAGAAGTTGAGCACAGGCTGATGCTGTCAGGTGGAACACAAAGCTGAATGAGTCCCACTTTCAAATGTCTGCTTTTTATATCAACAACAAATGCAGTTGATGGAAAGACATAAGAGGAAAGTGCCACCATATAAGGACTTGCAGTGAGGATGGGCAACGCATGTAGCCCGCGCCCACAGTCAGAGTGGCCCCTGGATATATAGATATAGATATATATCTTTATATATTAGGAGTCTAACGAAAACTGATTCATATTGGAAAACCGGTTTCGATGTGACAAATCAAATTGTTGCATTTTAAAGTACGGTAGTCACTTCCTTGACTTGTATCACGCTCCATGTCTCGGAGAGATGTATCAAATCACCTTTTATGAAAGAGGTACACTTTATATAAATCAGTTGGATGTTACTGTTGATTTTTGGTTTCTATGAATGAAATTAATGTGGATAGTTTGGGCCCTGCAGAGCTTTTACATGTTTTTGCATATTAATAAACTTGACAACAGCTGCAACCATCACATAAGGAATTGTTATCTCACTGAATTAAACAGAATTGAGTCATTAAATTTTAAAATTGTTACATTACACCCTTGAATCATACCCCGTGTATCAAGAATTGTATTGAATTGTGTCAAGAAATCATCTTTTGTGGAGATATGCCTACCCTATCTCATATATACTCCGAATTCCTCCCACATTCCAAAAACATACATACATGGCAGGTTAATGGAACACTCGAAATTGTCCCTAGGTGTGAGTGTGAGCACGGATGGTTGTTCATCTCTGTGTCCGCCGCCAACTGCCCGAGAGGCTCCAGCGACCCTTGTGGGGATAAACAAATTAGAAAATGGATGTATGGATGAAAAACAAAGGACATTTTCACCTAAAATTATCGATAGTTGAATTATATGTCTATAATTATAATAGTTTCAAATTTTTTAAAAAGCATTTTTGTTTTTAAATTTATTTTGTCAAGGAAGATGTTTTTTTCAATTTAATTTGAGGGTTTTTTTTGGTGTTAGTTTTCATTAACTGTAATAATCTTGGCCTCCTTTTGATGTGCTATGCCTTGGCGCATGAGGTGTTTCCTTCTCCCACTGAGACAAGTTGACCTTGGATTAAGGCAAAATCATAAAAACTCTAATTGTACAAATAGTTATAAAGGCAATTATACATATCGTTGAGAACATACTACATGTCTTCAAGGATTTATTTGCAGCAACATCCTCTTTAGTGCTCTGCTTCCTGACCCCCTTTTCACATCAGATAAGAAAGCTGTGAACCAGCATTTATTGAGCTGCACATAAAAAAAAAAAATAAATGAATAATACAAAATCTTGCGTGGGAAGGCCACATGAAGATTTTGAGTAATTTAAATTTCCCCATGCATGAAGTAAAGGAAAATGACACACTATGGTATCTGTAGACTTAACGCAGATCCAAAAAGCTGAATGGGATCATCACATATTTTGGATTTTTATGCAAAATCAGAGAGTTTATTAGAAATTCGCGTGGAAAACAATTGCCTAAAACCGCTTTAGTATTTACAGGTGGTAAAACTTATAGTAAGCATTAAAAAAATACATCCAGCTGAATATGTTTAATTTGCATTTTTAATTAACCTGTATTAATGTGAATGAAACCTGCTAACTTACTTCTACTTGAAGCAAATTTATTTTGATTGCACTACTTTGATTGAGGCTGAATCGAGAAAAAAAAACCAAATTCAACAATCAACACATTTAAATACAGTGCTTAAATTAACATTGCAGAATGTCCAATCGTTTGACAGGGTAAAAAAACAAAAAATTTCCTTGTAACTGGAAACATTCAATACACGGTGAAATTGGATGTAACAACGAATATTACTACAAATTAATATGCCTGTTTCAAAGCCTGGCGCTATTATTGCTGAGCTTGACAGAATGTCATTATGCAATGCAATGCAACGCAATTAATTTTCCAAAATATTGGGGACACAAAATAAATTGATTATTAACCTGTTTAAATAAATTCTGCTACATTTTCTCTGATTAATATTTGTTTAATATAGGGTCCACCTCCTTGACGAAACAGCCAACAGCAAAGCATTTTACCAAAACGCCCCCAAAATTCCCGGCGACCGAGGTTGACAACAGGGAATTTTACTGCCCACTTGTGGCCAAGATGTGCACATTCTAAACCCGACATTATTGCAAAGCACTTACCGTACTAAAGAAGAGCTGGGGGGAAGCGCTCTCCATAACAACGGTTTAATTTGTTGCATTCTATTTAATTATGTTATTATTGTATGTTTTTATATAGTACAATAATGTGGAATATTCATTTTTTTAAAACTTATAATTAAGTTCCATTCACTTGGGGAAATTCGGGACGATATGCGGGTCAGATAATGGATGGATGGATGGATGGATTCATTTGGGGGAAAAGAAACAGTTTTTTTTTCTTTTTTCAGAATATATTTTTTTACATTTCGGCTTCATTCCATATGGAGCTCCAGGTGTCATGGCGAAAAAGAAAGAAATATGTTAATCTTTAGGATGAGAAAAGTTCTCGTTAGTA